AGCACCCCCCGGGCCGGAAATCACCATCCGTATATTATATATATATATATATATATATATATATATATATATATATATATATATATTTATATATATTATTTATTTATTATATTTTATATATTTATATATATATATTAATCTGGTGTGTGTGTGGTGTGGTATATCCTGAGACTGGGTCTTCAGAATATTATGTAGCCAGAATTTATGGGGGTGTACAGGCCTATATAAGGTGGAGAAAGTAGCTAAGAAACGATTCTACTGCTAGCCTATGCTGAGGACAGGACCCTGTCTCTGGGTAGGAGAGGCGGAACTTTTCTGTGGCAGCTGGATCTTAGCTTGTAATCCTTGTGGAAGCTGAACTCTTAGCTTATGCTCCCTGTGGAAGCTGGACTCTTAGCTTATGCTCCCTGTGGAAACTGAACTCTTAGCTTATGCTCCCTGTGGTAGCTGGACTCTTAGCTTATGCTCCCTGTGGTAGCTGAACTCTTAGCTTGTACTCCCTGTGGTAGCTGGACTCTTAGCTTGTACTCCCTGTGGTAACTGTTAATACTATTTTATCAGCTAATTATAATCTTCAGTTCTAAGTAACTTGCTTTGTTATCTTTTCCTGGATATCTTAAATTATCAGATAGGTAGCTTATTAACCAAGTAATTAGTAAAAAGTAATTAAATATTAATAAATTACAATAATGAGAAAATGGTATAAAATACCGACAGGTTGTTATATCGAGGGGTTCTTAAAAGGAGATATCGAGGGTTGAAGGTAGACACACTTGTTGGATGGTAACGATATATTGTCAGACTCTGGTAATGGGAGATGGAGCCCAGCCTCTGCCTTGTCACTGCCTAGCTGGATGTCTATGCGCCGACTGAGGCCGAGGTAGCTCGCCTCACACTCAAGCTGCATCCCGTGACGTCATACAGTCACAGGCCTAAGGGGTCTTCTATATAAAGCACATGGATGATATTATGATATGCTATACAACACAGGGATCAGCAACTATGCTGACAGTTAGGTAAGACACAAATGCAACAGTTAGGTATCTTTATTACGAAACGTTTCGCCTGCACAGTAGGCTTCTTCAGTCGAGTACAGAAAAGTTGATAGAAGCAGAAGATACTTGAAGACGATGTAATCAGTCCATCACCCTTGAAGTTTTGAGGTGGTCAATCCCTCAGTCTGGAGAAGAGCATTGTTCCATAGTCTGAAATAATATGGAGTGGAAGTGTATGTATGTATGTATGTATAATGTTCGCCAAGACCGTAGTCCGGGCACGGGTCTCAATCTTGCGATGACCCGTCTCTGGCTCCCGAGGGAGAAAGGTTTCTACAATGATGCGACGTATGCTGCTCAAGCACTTTTCTGGTCAGTTCAACTGGTGCATCTCATAAGCGATGACACCATATGTACTCCTAACTGTGGACACTAGCGAGGAGGAGGATATGAATCAGTGGTCAGTGGTCACGTGAGGTCACAGACCCTGAGCTGCTTTGGGGATTAGTGTGGACGGTTACAAAGCATGGCTTGCTTCTGCAGTGTTTTAAAAATTGAGGTTGGAGAGTTGAAGGAGGAGGTCTTGCTTCTCCAGGAGGAGATTAGGAGGCTGAAGGTCCACCTCAATGGGTCTGGGAGAGAGTGTGAGGTGGCTGGAGTTAGTGGGGAATGAGGCTTCTAGCAGTGAGGTGCAGTCTGTCTCTCGCTGTGAGGAGGCTGTAGTTGGGGAGGTAGCAACGGCTACCAGCAGTGAGGTACAGTCAGCACCTGCTACAAGTGGCGAGTGGTTCACAGTAATGGAAGGCGCATCAGAGTAAGGAAGTTAAGAGTGAAGATCTGAAGGTAGGAAATCGTTTCTCTGTTCTTCAGGATGAATGTACTTCAGTGGCCAGTGAAGGTAAGGGTACTACTGCCCCTGCTAATGGAGGTAAGTGCATTCTTGTGGTTGGTGACTCTCAGGTAAGATACATTTGACCGTGCTTTTTGTAATAGGAATAAGAAGATGAGAGATAGAGTGTGCTTCCTGGAGCTGGTGTTGGGGACATTGTCAACAGGCTGGATAATATCATGTCAGGTAATGGGAACAAGCCCATTATCTGTCTCAGTGCTGGTGGAAATGATATTGGGAAGGGTAGGAGAGAAGAGCTGCTAGATAAGTAACGGTCAGCTATAGATTTCATTAAGTCTAAGGGAGGGATCCCAATCATATGTAGCATCTTGCTAGAAGGGGAGTAGGAAATGAATGGTTGTCTAGGGCAATTGGTTGTAAATTGCTGGTTAGACAGATACTGCAAGGAACTTGCAATCCCATTCATTGACAACTGGAACAACTTTTATGGCAAACATGATATGTATGCAAGGGATGGGGTTACATCTCTCTGGGGCTGGGGTGGTAGCTCTTGCAGGACTCGATTGAGAAGGCCATTGGTGAAATGCCTATGATTTTAAACTGATGGAAGAGAGAGGTATGGGTATGTGTGGGAAACAAGCAGGTTGCAACACTTGGGTTGGAAACAGTAAATGTATAAAAGCATTCAGCATGAAGTTATCAATAAAGACAATAGATCAGGTCAGCAAACAAAGGGGGACAGCAGAGGGCAGCAAGGGGACTAGCTCCCTTAAGGTTTACTAACTAATAGCAGGAGTGTAAGAAATAAGATAGATGAGCTAAGATTAATTGCAAGTGCAGGAAACATAGATATTATTGCTATAACAGAGACCTGGCTCAATCTGAAAGATAGAGAGATGCCCTCTGAATGTCACATACAAGGCTATAAATTATTCCACACTGACAGGGTCAACAGGAAAGGTGGTGGAGTAGCGATGTATGTCAGAGACAATTTAAATTGTTGTGTTAGACAAGATATTAAATTAGAAGCGTCAGCCACTGAATCTGTTTGGTTACAGCTTCTCGAGGGCCGAGAAAAACTAATTTTGGGTGTGATTTACAGGGCCCCAAATCTTGATAGGGAGTGCAGTAAACTTCTACGGGACGAAATTCGTAAGGCATCTACATACGAAAATGTTGTGCTAATGGGAGATTTCAACTATAGACAGATTGACTGGAGCAATTTGACAGGAAATTTAGAGTCAGGTGACTTTCTTGTACGATCCAGGATTGTTTTTTAAAACAGTTTGTGACAGAGCCAACTAGGGGAAATAACCTCCTTGACTTGGTTCTTGCCAGTAGGGAAACACTAATTAATAATCTTGAGGTTAATGATGAGCTTGGGGGAAAATGATCACAAATCACTCAGTTTTAATATTTTCATGGAATTCCCTAATAATGGCAATCAAGTCTCCGTCCTGACTTTCGCTTGGCTGATTTCATAGGACTGAAAAATTACTTAGGTGGGCTGAACTGGAATGACCTGACTAAGGGTCAGGTAGGTGGTGATGGTTGGTGATATGATGCTTTCCAGGGCTAGTTCTAGCTGCTCAGTCAAATTATGTTCCAAATAGGAAATCAGATCAAACAAAAATGATCCTAAATGGATGAACAATAGATTAAAATATTTGATTGGTCAAAAGAGAGGCATATATAGGCAAATCAAAAGAGGAGAGGGGCAATTAAGAAATCGATATATTCAGTTAAAGAGAGAAATAAAAAAGGGAATTAGAAAAGCAAAAAGAGATTATGAGGTTAAAGTTGCAAGAGAATCGAAGACTAACCCAAAAGGATTCTTTCAGGTATACAGAAGTAAGATCAGGGACAAGATAGGCCCACTCAAAAGTTCCTCGGGTCAGCTCACTGACAGTGATAAGGAAATGTGTAGAATTTTTAACACATACTTCCTCTCAGTTTTTACAGGAGGATACCAGCGATATTCCAGTAATGATAAATTATGTAGAACAGGACGATAATAAACTGTGCACTATTAGGGTCACAAGTGACATGGTCCTTAGGCAAATAGATAAATTAAAACCTAACAAATCCCCAGGCCCTGATGAACTGTATGCAAGGGTTCTAAAGGAATGTAAA